TCTTTTCTTTTCTTTTCTTTTCCTTTCCTTTCCTTTCTCATTCATTCATTCATTCATTCATTCATTCATTCATTCATTCATTCATTCATTCATTCATTCATATAGTGCAGTGTTTCTCAACCTTGGGAACTTTAAGACGTGTGGACTTCAACTCCCAAAATTCCCCAGCCAGCCTGGATACCGCTGAATCCCAGGAGACTCCCAGCGGGTTGCCAAAGCTTATACAGATAAGACACCCATGGTAAGAATTCAATAGTGTACCCCTAACAGATAAAACATGCATGGTAAAGATAATCAGATTCAACAATCAAATAACAATCAAGCCTAAAATGCTCATGCCTTAACAAAATATGACAAACTATTAGGTTTTCTTGGCAGAAGTGCTTTGCTGCTGCCTTACATTAATTTTTTGTTAACTTCCCAGTCTAGCCCATAGCCCTGGGATTTCCTAGTGGTCTCCCATCCAAGCATTAATCAGTGCTGATCCTGTTTACTTCTTTCAGGTCATCCAAGATCATTCTGGTGGGTGTTACTGCTGCTGTGATGTGAGCAAAGCATGGGAGGTAACAATTGACTTTCAGGGATTAGATTGAAATACAAGTTGTCCTCATTTAGCTACCACAGTTGGGACTGGCAATTTGGTTGTTAAGCAAAGCAGTCTCTAAGTGAAACTGCAACTGTGTTTATAATCTTGACTTCAGCTTTCCTTTGCTTTAGACCTGCAAAGGTTGTAAATGCAAGGATTGGTCATAAAGTTATTTTTTCATCACCATTGTAAGACAGTCAGTAAACAAGGCAGTCGCTAAATGAGAACTTCCTGTAAGTCTCCAGCAAGCTCATGCTTTAAGGATGCTACAGCCAACAGGCTGGATCTAGCGGAGGGCAGGATGCAAATCAAATCAAGCTGAAATTGCAGCCACATTGCTGGAATTTGGCAGTAACGGAACATCAGTGGCCCAATTTCCCACCCGAAACTATTGGGAAAAGAAGGAAGGTGCGTTACATCAGGGTTTTTTTAAACCATGCTTGGTGGAATCCTGGAGTGCAGGAAGCCACCATGATAGCATCCGTGGCAGATGGCTGCCCAGTCTCTGTTTAAGGGCCTCCATTGAAGGTCTCCCACCTCCTGCAGTCTGGTCCACTGCAAACAGCGCTTGCCATTCAGAAACTCTTCCTGATGTCTGCTTCCTTGTAAATCTGTTCCTTGGCAATATAAACTGGGTGCAAGCAGAGTTCCCATGTTCTGGCATGCTTAGAGTGGAGACAAGCCACAAAATGGTCCCTGTCTGCTCCTTCTGCCATCCAATCACATAAAGGCTGGATAAGTTTGTCCCAGTTCAGGGACCCCTTCCTCCAGTGATGAGCTCATCTGCACGTTCAGTGACATCACAGAAATACCGCGAACGATAGGCTGAGCTGACGTGTACACCAGACCCGCACACGGACGTCTCAGTGCAGCGTTCATGGAAATGCTAAACACCACAATACCACAGCCAGCAGAAATAGTTATAGCGCTGTTCACCCTAAACTTCTTTGGGCCAAAAATTACAGAAAGTTCCCTTTTTTAGGATGGGAAATCATGATTCGGATCATAGCAGCAAGGTCAGAAACAGCTCTTTAATGAGTTTTACTCAGTTAAGTGTCCAAAACATGTAATTATAAAAGAAAAGGGAAAAAAAGGAAGTAGCAACCTAGGAAATGCCATGCAATGCATAATAGGCTAAAGGAATATCTTCTTTTTCTTGAAGCATTCAGAAGAAAGCTACAGAAGGTGGTTAGGAAACACCATGCAAAAAGAACAGAAAACCACGAATGCTTGGTTTTAAACGGTATTTTTAAATGCCTCCTTTTGGGCTTCCTAATAACTTAGTTAAGTACTTCCAAAAGAAAATTACATTATGTAAATAAAGTAGAAGCCAGATAATATCATTCCAATATACTGTTGATGTCCACAGTAAACCTCTTGAGATTTATCACATAAAAGGTCTTAGAGCAGTGTTTCTCAACCTTGGGGACTTGAAGATGTGTGGAGTTCAACTCCCAGAATTCCCCAGCCAGCATGGCTGGCTG